AGGGATTGCGGCGTGACCATCCCCCCTGGGGGGTGATTTCTCGCTTTCTGTCTCTATGTCTCTCTCTGTCTGTCTGATGAGCGCATGCACCCTATAGCAAAAACCTCTCTGAAAAAGAAAAAAGAATAAGGACCTCTTAAGAACAGGGGCTCAGAGTCCCAGCGAGCATGATAGTACAGGGGATGGGGGCACCGGAGGGCCTTAGACCTATGGCAAGGGACACTACTCTTCCCCATTAGCCTGCCTCTGTTCACAGGCCAGGCTGGTCTAGGCCTTTGCAGAATGATAGGAAAAGCATGGAGAGAATTGTAAATTTGTGTAGGAAACAAACAAAGGATAACTAGCTGCTCTAAAGAACTTTGTTGATAGCTTAAAAAAATAGCTTCTGAAGTTGTATAATGTACAGTGAGAAACGATCCTCTTTTTGTCCTGTGTATCAGTGCCCCTTTACCAGGGTTTTGAGTTCCAGGTGGGTGCAGGAAATCGGTACAGCTGCAGTTGTCTCCTAGGCCTCTCGGGAAGGAGAGACATTGCCGATGCTGACAGCACCTGAGTACCTTATGCCTCCAGAGACGGCTTCTGGGAGTGAGGCTGGGCTGCGATCAGAAGGGGGCCCGGAGGGTTGGGCATGGTAGCAGAAGGGGCAGCAGGCTGGGGGTGGAGCTGGACCATGGGGGTGGGCAAGGTGGGTGAAGGAGAGAGGGGTATGGTGTACTGTTCAGTAGGAGGGTGGGTTGGGGAAGCATATCCAGGCTGGAGGTTGGGTGTCAGGGAGCCTGTGTCTGCAGTTCCCGGGGGACTGTCTAGGGCTCCTAAGGTCTTGGGTGAGGGTCTGGCAAAAAGTCCATGAGTTCCACTCAAGAGTGCACGTGTCCTGTTCAGGTATGCAGGAATTTGGTCCAGGGACCTGGAGGTTTGGTTTAGCAGACCAGGAACCTTGGCTCTGAGCCCCTGCAGCCTGCTGAGAAGTCCAGAGCCCGTAGTTCTGGCTGGGACACTGGTGTCTGTCTCCAGCAATCCGGAAGTCCTGTTTGGGAGCTGGTTCAGCGCGAGGAGCAGAGAGGTGCTGCGTGGGACAGCTGTGGCGGGTGGGGCTCGCCTGGCGCAGAGGGCGGGCCCGCCTATAAGAAGCAGGAAGCGCACCTTTCCCCGCAGCAGTTGTTGGAAGCTCAGGAAGATGGCGTTGGGATCCTTGTGAGCTGTGGTCCTGCCCTGTGGAGGAAGCTGAAGGCAGAGGGCGGGCCTGAGGCCAGGGACCAGGGCCATATCAGGCTCCTTTGTCTGTGTGAGACAGGTAGGGTACAGGCGCCCAGGCATTGAGGCTGGGAGTAGGTCAGCTCTTCTGCCCGTAAGATTCCTTGAACCCCTCTCTTCCCTCAGGTTCCTAGAAAGACTAAGTCAGTTCTATGGGTTCGTTGACTGGGATTTACCTGGGTTCCGAGTAGGCCTTGCAAGGCCCCAAGGAGGAGGCGAACCTGTCCAGAGAGCTGTCCCAGGAGGGATGAGAGGCAGGTGGGACCAAGCTGTCCCCGTGCTGCCATCACTCCCTCCAGCAGAAGGGTCACTGCTCCTAGAAGGTCCTGTGCCTTGGTCTGCTCCTGGGAAAGAGATGGAAGAGGGAAGCGGGCTGCTTCAAAGGGCATGCTAATAGCGGGTGGGGAGCTGTAGGAGTCGCCAGCAGAATGAATCATAGGAGCTGAGAACTGGACAAGACCAAGGTCCCACCCAGCACAGGAATTCTTCACAGTGTCCTGACAATTGGTCATCAGCCTCCGCTTCAGTAACTCCAGTGTCCGCTCACAGCCCGGTCTTACACTTGGTTTCAGTCCGAGCGCTCTTTTCTTCTTTCCTTACGTCACTGCAATCCGCCCTATTCCAGCCTCGACCGCCTGATCCTAGTGCTACAAGTCTATTTTTCTGCTACAAAACCTTAGGATCACATGATTTTAAAGGAAGTTTTACTTCTTCCTGCTGGGGTATGGCAGGGGGAGATGAGCACTGTCGGTGGGTGTCTCACCTAGGATCCTCCCTGGCCTTCCCCAGCAAGCCAGGACTGTGGGTGTGTGCCATAATCCTAGCTGGGGGGGGGGGGGGGGGTGCGGGAGGAACAAAACGTGAGAGCAAGGCCGCGCCGGGCCCCCTCCCCCACCCCCCTCCCACAAATAGAATAAAGGTTGGCTTGAGGGGATGTCCAGTGCTAGGCCATTACTTTAAATGCAGTCAGTTCAGACAAGAATGCTCCAGAACTATTTCTACAATGTGGAAGCTGAACATCTACAGCAGCATAGAACTGCTAGTTTTATATTTTTTAAAGCATTATTTTATGTAACTTTTATTTATTTACATATGTATTTATTTTTTTTATTTAAATTTGACCAGAGTGTAACAGAGTGAAAGAGGGAAAGTGAGAAAGCAAGCCACCAGGTCCAGGACTTGAACCACAGTCAGCCTTGTGGGCGTTCCAGCGCCCTTAACCACCATGCCACCTGCCGGCGCCAGAACTGCTAGTTTTTAAAATAACTGCTTCAGGCCAGCCAGTAGTGAGGTGGTTAAGATGGCTGGATCCCACATAGCCAACTGCGCGGTGTGAGTCCTGGATCCAATGACTTGAAAAACATGCCAGACACATGTGTGTGCATGCCCCAAATACCGAAAGAACAGAGGACAAGGGATTATGGTGTGGTCATTTCCCCTGGGGTGTGCTTTCTCATGTTCCATGTCTCTCTCTGTGTCTCTCCAACAAGCACACACACCCTATAGCAAATTAAAAATAAATAACTAAATCTGCTTCAATAAAGTTGTTTCATGCTAAGTTAGGGGTCAATTTGATGTTTCCAGATCTTCATAGGAGTACTAGGGCTAGAAGGTAAAATGAGAGGGGGCTGGCAGGTGGCATGGTGGTTAAGGCGTTGGACTCCCACATGGCTGACCGTGGTTCAAGTCCTGGATCTGGCAGCTTGCTTTCTCACTTTCCCTCTCTCTCTGGTCAAATTAAATAATAATAATAATAATAAATAATCCTATAAAAGAGTTTAAATGAGGGAATGAGGGGCTCCTGACCTGGAAGCTGGAATAGGACTTCGTTCAGTTACTGTACATATGTAGAAAAGATCTATTTATGTATCTTTTTGTTAAGTTTCACTTTTTTGTAGTTGCCAGAGGGCACATGAGCTTACCAAATGGAGAGAGATACAAAGAGGGAGAGGGAGAAGTGGACAGCATCACTCCAATTGGGTGTGGTCAGGCCACTATCCTTTCTCCATTTTTCCATCCTTTTGGGCTCTTGGGCATGTGCATACACTTAGCATGTATTTCAAGCTACTGAGGCTGGGATCTGAACCAAGCAGTAGGCCATGTGGGACCCCTTAACCACTAGGCCATGGGATGGTCCTCATCTTGTTTTTAACTTGCCAAAGGGTGTGTGTGCTTACCAGAGGAGACATAGTAGAGAGGAACAGTGAGAAAGCACCCCGGTTTAAGAAGGTTGAATGGGGAGGTGTGCAGCTGTGGCACAGTGGTTACACAACTGGACCCACATGGGAACGGTTCTGAGGTCTGTGTCCCAAGACTTCCCTGAGTAAGCCTGCATGCTTGGGATGTGGGCCACCCGAGACTGGGGGTGGACGGTGATGTGAAGACCCTGTTGGGGTTTCTCTTGTTCTTTCTCTCTTGCTCATGGAAGAAAGAAAAGAAAAAGAAGAAAAAAGAGAAGAAAGAAAGGAAGGAAGGAAAGAGAGAAAGAAAGAGAAAGAAAGAAGGAAAAGAAAGGAAGAAACATTGAATGGGAATAGGTCAAAGGCATGGCTATGAGGGACTTTTGTGCAGCTTTCATGGCGTTCAACTTGGAATCTATTTAACGTTTTGGGCCCTCGAACCATCATTTATCCACAGGATTTAATCATAGGTGAGTGTATTAGGCTGTTGGAAAAGCCACGACACTTCTTCCTATGTAAACATGTGTCATAACTTTCCTAACAGCCGGACAGATTGGGTTAGGATGGCCAAGTTGAAGGTGAGATATTTTTAGGGAGCTCAAGAATTTTGAAGAATTTTTGGAAAGAAGCAGGAAACGGATGCAGATGGACTTAGGGAAAGCGAGGTGTAAGGGGTGGCATTCTTACTGTCTGGGTTTTCCATTCCCCCAAGCTGAAGTCCACAGCAGGCAGCAGGACAGGGGTGGGCAGAGGCTTAACGTCAGGGCACTGGCTCTGCGGGAGAGAAGGGAGCCGGAATAAGGGGGTAGCTGTGACCAGGACAGGCTTCCCTGAGCACTACGTCCAGACTAGAGCTTTCAGAGGGAAGCTCTTACTGCTCATTGGAGCCCTCCTCTGAGAGTGCTCTTATCTAGTCTCGGGAGGGGGGACGCTGGGTCAGGGAGCGAGGGCATCTCCCCGGGTAAGTGGCTACGGAAGCAGTGCTTGGGAAGCCTCACCAGTCTGCCGTGAAGGACGTGGGAATCACGAAGCAGTTTATTCAGGAGCCGGGGGTCACAGGCAGGAGGAGCCGGGCTGGACAGGGTTAGTCTTGCAGTGAGGAGCAGCAGGACCACGAGGAGCAGCTCTTAGATGACGAGAGATGAGGTCAAAAGGGGTGGATAAGGCAGGAATCACTTTTGGGCGGTGGTCCGGGAATTCCCATGGAGGCCCCAGACCCAAAATCTAGGGACCACTTTTCTTGGGAGATGGGTGCCCCAGTGCCCCGCCCCTGCAGCGCCTGTGTTCTCTTCCCCTTCTACCACATCCTGCTCGGCCCTGGCCCCTGCACTGGGTTCTTACCAGTCAGCTCCATTCTGGCCGTGCTGTCTGGCTGGAGTGGCTCCCTGTATGGGGCCTCTCCCCTGAATCCTTCCTGGGGCCATGGAGGCGGTTTAGGCTCTTGCACTTCTGGGTAGAGTGGGGCGGGGCACAGGTGGGCCAAAGAAGAGGATCTGGAATTTATTCTGAAAGTGACAAGAATGGTGAGCATTTAATCGAGCTTCAAGGAGAAGACCGCCTCATGGGGGAACGGATGCTGGAGGCTTGAAGTGCCCAACAGCCTAGAACTACTAAAGCTCCCTCTGTTCCCGCTTTCTTGTGGTCGTAGCATATGGGGTCTGCTCTTTGTCAGGCCTCCTCAGTGAACGATAAGGTTCGGTGCCCCCGTCCCACCTCGATGGGGCAGCAGGGCATGATATGAACACACACGTACCTTAACTGGGCTCTGATTCTGAGCGCCTTGGAGGTTGGGCTGGAGAAAGCCTGCGGTGGGAACGGAGCACGGGAGGGTTGCGGTCCACGCCTGCAGGGGAGAGTGGGCAGTGGACACGGGGCCAGGATGGAGGGCTGGTGAGCAGTGCAGCGTGCTGAGGGGTAGCGAGTTGAGGAGGGAGGTGGGACTTCGAACGGTGGAAGATTAAAAGGTGATATGGAGGAGAGGAAGCTCGGTCCCTTGCTGTTCACTGCCACGTATCAGCCTCCCGGAGTTTTCCTCTGCACTCCAGGCTCTGAGCCCCGTTATCCAAGGCACAGAGGAGCTCACGTCCCAGACCTCCTTCCGAGGCAGGTTACCCAGGAATGGGCACCTGTGGAGTGAGGCAATGCCCGCTTATAGGGCTTACCCCGGGTAGACACCTGCCAGTACCTGAGTCTGTCTGGGAGCCTGCACCTGCCTCCCTGCCCCCTCTGCAGACCCCTTCCGGTTCCTTCCCAGGACCCCCCACAAGGCTTCCTCCTCCTCCTTTCACAAGTTGTGCAAAGAGGCCCGCACCTGATTCAATATTGGGGTTTCCTGTGGGTCTGTCAACACGTATGAGGCCTCCTCCCATTACCCTCTCCTCGCGTCCCCGCCCCAGAATTCAGAGCTTTGGCTAGGATTGGGGACTGGGACTGCGTCCATCTTGGCACTGTTCTCTCAGCCCTACATGAACCTCCTTTCTAGTGTCCTTGCTGGGCCCCTGTCCCCTCTCCTTAGAGCCAACAGGGACTATGCCGTATTCCAGGTCTATGATCAGAAACCAGCACCCCACCCCCTACCCCTGCCCCGTCCTGCTCCTCCCATTCTGGGAAAGCTGCAAAATTCCGACAAAGGTCAGTGCCTGTGGGTTCCAGCTTGCTGCCCCTCCCCCAGCGGAGCCAGGTCCTCTCCTGTCCTTCCTGCTCTCACTTAACCCCAACCCTGCTTGCACTCACCAGGTGGAGAGGGGCCGGGACCCAGGTGCACAGCAGGCAGCGCTCTGGGGAGCGGATGGTAGGAAGACATGTGGTCCTGGGGCACAGCCCCTCCACAGCAGTGGGGTCACACGCCTGCCCGGGCCACTGCTGCCCAATCAGAGAGCAAGGAGCCAACAGACACTGGTGAAGGCCCCCGGAAGTGACGCCTTCCCCCCACCCGCACTGGGCCTGGAGCCCCTGCTGGACCATGGTCCACTCCTGGAGCCCAGCTCGTCCACCCACACACGCCACCGGGAGGATTTGGATAAGGGACCCATGCTTTCCCAGGAGATGGGAAACCTGGGCCTGGCTGGGGGAGGAGAGGAGAGAGGAGCCGACGTTTTTTCCAGGAGGACTCTGGCAGGACATTTTTGTCCCTGGGGAACAGGCACGGAGTCTTGCATTAGACTGGTGGAGGCTTCAGTTCCTGGCTCTCCGAATTTCTTTTCCCTGGACAGCATACCTGTGGCTGAAATCGCACAGGACTCGCTTTCTCTCAAATACCCCCATGCAGTTCCACCTTGCTGCCCCCTCTCTCCAAGGGGGAGCTGGGCCACGCCTGCACTGGAGATGATGCTGTCAGGGTCGCTGTGGGGAGAGGGTTGGGCCGTCTGAGAGGATGGGAAGGTGAGAGACATATGTCCCTGGGGGAAGCCTGGGCCAGGTGCTCTTCTGCTGGGACCCACCCAGACGCTTGGACAGCTACACCCACTAGCCTCGGAGCCCGGGCCCTGCTTCCCTTGCTCTGTCTTCCTCCCTCTTCCGTCTCTTACCACCACATAGGTGACAAGAATAACCAGGCCGGTGTGGCCCCCATCTTTGGAAAGATAACTGCTGACCCTCCCCCACAAATACCTCCCTGCTGGCCCCTCTTCCTCTGCTTTCCCCTCAATTCCAGCCCGTACCCCCAGGGCTTCTGGCTTGACCTTGTTTCCATCAACGGCCCCCTCCCCAGTCCCTCCCCGGTCTCTCTCCTGTTCCTCCTTCCAAGGATGGGGCTGTCTGCTAAGGAGTATGGCCTGGATCCCGGAATTCTCCAGCTCAGCCAGCAGAGATGCCGCCCAAGATTAGGAGGAGAGTCCTGGGATGGCTGGAGGGTGCCGGGCCTGGGTGGGAGGGCAAAGGGGTGCTCATGACCGGGGAGGTGCAACGAGGAGCCTGGACCTGGCTGGAGAGGTGGAGGGCAGGTCCTTTGGGTGAAGGCAGGGGTGAAGAAAGCCAACCTGGATGGTCGAATTGTCTAAGGACAGGTTACAGTGGAGAGAGACATTGCCATGCCAGACAGGGGGCCACAGCCGTTTCTGGCTAAGCCCTGTCCTGGGGAGCCCAGAGTGTGGACCTCAGAGGAGTAGACAGGCTCGACAGTAGAGAGGGCAGTGAGGAGTTTGAGGAGCACTAAGTGCCCAGGGCAGGGGGCGGCAGTGGATGGCCTTTCCTGCACACTGTCATCCTTAAAGACAAGTCCTCATCCTTCAGACGGGA